AAACCTTTGTTTTCGACTGGGTGTTCACCCGAGCTGAAATTTTACTTTTTTCGGTGTGACTCGCTGCGCTACGTGGCTTCTATCTAACATCCCACGCTTTTCAAGGAACCTATCTTGCCGAACCTTCCCGCACGGAAGTTGTGGTCGATTCTCGTGGGTAAACATCGACACAACGCATGTATAATGCTAGGCTCGAATCCAGCCTGTCTATGAAAGCAAGCTTGTCGATAGACAGGCTGGTCGATCTGAGTTTGAATTTCCAATACAAAATTCTTTCCCAAATAAGCTATTCAAATATTGCCATTCCTGCATGATTTTACACAATAATTTTTACATAGGCGTGATTTCGTGGTGCTTGAGATGCTATCCCTTCTTATTTGAACCCAAACTGTTCAGTTTTGAGTGCACCAGATCCCAAATATCATGTTTTGCTGTTGTTTGGCCCATGCCGTCACCCACTCGGAAACGCGGTCCGGAATAGCCTTTTTGGGCAAAAAAGTTGTATTGGGATTTTAAACTCAGATCGACTGGTCTGTCTATCGACAGGCTTGCCTCCATAGACAGACCAGTCACTGGTCTAGTATAATGCATGGCCAACGTTCTTCATGGGTCCACCACTTGAGTCTGCTGATGCCCGTCGGCTGGCCGCATCTGTGGGTCCACCTACCCCTGCTCTGTTCTTAAACGAAGGCTTCACAGCTCCAGTAGGCGACACTGAACCCCTCTACACATGGAGGGAACTCTTCTCTGGGATGCGGGTGATGCTCCATACGCACGGTGCGGCTCCGCTTCTCTGTGCCTGGCGACAAGCAACTAAGCCAACTGATGATACTCAGGCCCATGGCGCGTCATTGGGATCTATGGGGAAAATTGCTTTTGTATGTTCGTTTCGCTAGCCAAGTTTCCCTGACTGACTCAGGAAGAAACCCCGCTTCAACCCATGTGGATGGACTTCCGGTTCGTATCGGGGACGTGGGCTACTTCAAGGGCGGACAGCTCTACCTCCTTTTCCACGCCATCGAAAGTGAACGCAATCCTGCGCCACGTCCCGGGGAAAATGTTCCACAGGGTTTCGTTACCATTCCATACCCTGGTGGAAGCCGCAGTTACCCAGTCGACAAGGGCTCCTACCTAAGGAGCGATGGGGATCACCAGATTTCTGTTGGCGTGGGGGCAGACGCGTGAGCAAACTCCAGTTCTACGGATAAAGAGCAACACACTTACCCAGGTACAGGTCCGTCATCCAATTGAATTTTGACGTGGATTTGCACCATAAAAATTTCGCTTGCGTTTTCGCAAAGTACCGACAATATCGCGATAGAGTTCAGCCTCGCGGGGAGCTCGAGCGCTTTGCAAAAAAGCATGGAAAGAATTGGTACAAATTTGCTCGCGAGAAGACCAATCGGCCTGACATCCAGATTGTCTTCATCACTGGGCTCACTCGAACCCGGGATTTTCTCGCTGGGGCGTGCACAGCGCGTGACGATACTTTCTCGGTCGAGTTGGGGTTCAGGGCCCCTACTCCGGCCGCACTTGTAGTGGACGGCGATCTTCATGCGAGCTTCCACACAACGAACAACCTTCAAATCCACACTAAATACAACCCAGCTGAAGAATCCGCCTTCGATTCCGAGGATTATATAGATCATAGGCTTCTGGAGTACCTCCCAGGAGCCGAAGGGTTTACCAACTCAATCGCTTTGGAGTATTTTCAATTCTCGACCTTGGATAGATTCCGGCATTGGATCGCTATTTCAGTCAGATTCTTTACCGGTTCTGATGGGGAGCCAATCGACCCCCACCCGACAACGCAAGCACCGTCTTCTACCTCTGCTTCGGATGGCCAGACACCGGTCAACTATACTGGTAATTTCGGCATTTCAACGCGAGGAGGATTCTCTCGTGGCTTTATCATCTATACCCCGGAGATAATCGTGAAGTTCCTCAAGCAACACGATGCAATTGTATGTCTGCTTTATCCAAAAAATCAGTGCTGACATCCAATTGCTCCAGGGCGACCCTCTCGCGTGTATCGCGTTCCACATCGCCTGGATGTGCCAGTTGTGGCACATCGATGATCGGGTCGACGCCTTAATTCCTCCGAACACCTTAACAGTCTTGAGGAATTACTGCAATGAGAGACGCGAATGCTCCGACATATTCTATAGCCAACTCCACCGTATCCTTGTCCGTGCATGCCGCCGAGTGAAAGGAATCCTTCGTCGCGGGCTTCATGTGGTCAATGAAGCGACCGACAGGCTCATGGAGGCATTTGAAAAGCTCGAGGAACTCAAACTGTCTGCCAACCCCTATGGACCTAGACATCACTGCCTCAGCGCAGGCGACGTCGAGGCGCAGCGGGAGCAGCTGCAACGCCTTCCCTCAATCGACCGCGAGACATATGACCTCATAGGACAATTACTGTATGCTCGACCGTCTATCAGGATCGAAACACACTGTATGTTTCAAAGCTTGGCCCGCCGCCACCGTAACTAATTGGCTCCTTTGTTCTTACGCAGTTGCCACTCTCGATCCATCTGGGGAGCAATGTAGACTGAGTTTGGGGAAGCAAGCGAAACTGGCCGCGTTTGAACGATACTTGGAAGACGACCTCTCGGACAAGCTCTCGTGCTATGAACGTTCAGCATTTGAAAAAGCTTGGGATGCGGTTACGTCGAAGCAGTCACCCCAGCACTACTTCTCGCTGGCGTAAAGACCAGGTATCCTCTCATCGCACCAGGCCAACTGAATATGACTCCTCCTCTTGTACCAATGTTACCAATACCTTGTCCATGCTGTATGCATTGTATTGCCCACCTCTTCGTTATGGAACACGCGCGCTAGGCTGAATTGACCTTATTCGTGACCAGATGTCTGAACATCCGTTCCAAAGTCATATAAGTACACTGGTCGATGAATGCTCACTTGAAGCGTAGTCTCTGCCACCTCCGCCAGAGGTTTGATTCCCCGTTCGCGCATATTGTGTTGCGAGCTGCTGTTGCTTCGCGCAGATTAGCTGGAGTAAGGCTGGGCGCATTTTCAGCGCGGGCCCGGGTCCGCGGGTGGATGAAAGCAGCCTCTCCATGCCAGTAGCGACTTGAGCAATCGAGATCCTTCGTGCCAGAAATTACACTTTGATGATCCTCGAAGGGGCAAAGAGAGAGTCGGTATTACTATCTATGGGTGTCGATTTGCTTTTCGCCGATGGCCGCTGAGCCGAGATGTTTTTTCCTGCACCCCAGGAAAACTCGGGGGATCCCAAGGTTCGAGTTCCCTAACAGTTTTAATGTAGGGTGTTTGTAAACGGAGAGGCAGGGCGAAGGACCGAGAAACCAGTTTGTGGGGCTGCTAACCAGATCGACACTACTTTGCGTCAATCTGCAACGTCAGGAGGGAAAAAGAGATTGTGCGGTGCTTCGGTGTTCACACAAGGTTCTCACTCAAGGCCTGCGTCTTATCCAAAGCGCCGGGAGCCTCGACGAACAGCCTTTTGTGTTCATGTTAATTTTGACGTGTTGGTGTGCGGTGGCTCCAGCTGCGTACTACCTCGAGCTCATCTGGCCGCTTGCGCAGACTGGGTACCGGGCGCAGCGTCAATGCGGCGGACCTATCTCAGTCATGCGCGGAAGCACGACATCGGCGCAGAGGCAGAGCCGTACGTCCATGGCCGGGGAGAGAATTCCAATTCGGCCAGTGGAGGGGAAGGCTGCACACGCACGATTCGGCACGAAGCGTAAGTGGGCGCCTATAATGTAAGAGCACAACGGACCATGGCTTTCTCTGTGTCCGCGTCTTGTCGGGGATGATAAACGTATCGATAAACAGCGCGGCGACGCAAACGCGGGCTGATGAAAAGGCCGGATTTATCAAGGGATTTATGATGAGCACGGGAATAAAGCCACAGAGGATGTAGCTATAGAGAGGATGCGTAGAGCGGAAGCGTAGAGGGAGATCACGGAGAAATGTAAGTTAGATCTGCGCAGGCACGAGAGTTCGAGAGAGAACGACGATCAGTATTAAGGTCCGTGCACGGTGGCGGTGTAACGTTCTCTGGCTTTCTCCGAACGAGGCTTTTGTTTCCACCGAGACACGCCCAGCCTTCGCCCGCCGTTGGATTGCGTGTTTTCGCCTCCGTCCCTACCTCCGTCCTTGTTCCCCGTTTCTCTCCCTCCCTGTTTCGCTTGGTCCCTGCTCTCGATCCTCCGCCCTTTCTAGCTCTTCTATGGCCCTTCCGTTGCTCTCTTTCTTCGCCAAACCTTCGCCAAACGGCCCAAACCCGACATTCGCTTGTGCTTCGTTATTATCTCCCTGCCCATCTCTTCCACCCGCCAATTGCGAACCTCTAACGCTGCGCCAACCCGCTTTCCCTCCTTCCCCCCTTCCTCCCCTCCTTCCACGCGTCTTTCGATCCCTTCTCCCATCGCGCGCTCCCTATGCTGTGATCCCTCTCGTATTACTCCAATCAAGCTCCCAGTTTCCCTCGCTTCGCTCGACCTATGCTCTTATTCACAAACGCGACTCGTTACATATCGGACCTCTCAATACCCCACACTACCCCTATTCGCTGTTCGTCCGGGGATCTTGCCCGCCGTTAATTCAACCGCCCGGGCGCGACACATCACGCCTTGCTGCGCGGGGACAGTGTTTTTGTTCGCTGGGGGAAAGAAAAATTCCTTTAAGCCAACTCGCGAAGGCCAAATTGAATCAACTGCCACCAGCAACCATCCGGCAGTCGCTTCGAACTCTGGCAGCCGCACCACTTGATAATTGCCCTCCTCGCTGGACTAGCTCATGCCCTCTCCCTCGTATACGAAGCCCGGCCCGCCGCGAAAACACACCTCAGAAAGATTTATCTGAATAAGATATTGAATATCGAATCTCGAACCTCGTCCCGCGCCTCGCATGTCCAAGTCCTGCGGCCCATCGCCGGAGCGAAAGAAAACGATCCTCAACCCCTCCTCAAACGCAGCGAACGCAAAAAAGAATTTATAAAGGCGGTATGCGCGGAGGGGGAATTGAACCCCCGGCGGGTCGATTGTGCAGATATCTGGCGGTGTAGAAAACCCTTGGCAACGACCCAGGTTACCACTACCCCATCCGCGCGATGCAGAACGAGGGGAGGATGGAGGGAGGGAGGAGGAGGGAGAGAGGTGGGTTTTTGGACTTGGAGAAAAACCAGAATTTTCGAATCAACGGTTTGACAGAAAATCATAAGGGAATCAGGGAGTAGCCACAACAACGCAGCTAACCGCCGCATGGGGAGCTCAAGGAGGAGGGGGTATGGTATGATTTTGGTCGTGGAGGTAAGTCTGACAGGAATTGAATTGAATCGAACTCGAAAATGATCGGGCCAGTTTACCACTACCCCATCCGCGCAACGGGATGAGCAATTGCATGCAATCTTCCTCTCCACCTCTTCAAACAGTTTTATCAGGTCTCTCGAGCCAACTACCGATATTTTTGCCTCATGTTTCGCGATCTGGCATTCAGTCACTGTGCTTCTCTAATTTCCCTGCTCGAGGGGGGGAAGTTGTATAGTTCACGACAAGTTCACGACTCATTCGGTTAGATTTCAAAGCAATACTCTTCAACAACTTGCTTCATACCTGAATACGCCAGCTTCGGAGACGTCGAACGTCGAACGTTAGAGCCTCTTGTGGAGCTGCCTTCTCTTTCAACCATACCGAATTCCGTTCAAGCGAAATGCGCGCGGACCCAACGCGCACGGTTCACAATATTAATTAAAGCATGTAAAACAAGAGCTAAGCCGGATCATGAATAGCCAAGAGACGCCGCGAGCCTCGTAGAGGCAACCATAATAAACAATGGGTTGAGATTGGATTTTCCCCGGGCAGAGGTGCTCAGACATTTTCTGAACGGGTGGAGGCTATAGATAAGCGTCAAACAACACATCGTGCTTGATGTTGAAGTTGAATTTCAACCACGGCAGAATCGGAGAACGAACACTGCGTACATAGCCACGTTATACCTCGCTTTGACCGACCTAAAGCGGAAATTCACCTTTCTGAACGGATACACAATGCACATGGGAGTTCGATCTCCACGGACCAAGGCTCGGAGGAATGGAATTCTAAACCGCGTCGCCAATTCCGGTATCGTGCAAAAGCAAATTCGGATGCGGCATAAAATTATCCACCTAAAACATGCATATGGCAATCTACTTTCACCTGCACCATCTGTCGTACCGCGCGTGCGCCCAACTCGGCGCTCAGCTGCCCCGTGGCAACAGAGCGGCCGAACTCCTTCTCTACCTAGCCGAGCGCAACTTGGTCCAGAGTTCGTTTCCTCTTCGGCTGAAGTTCTCGCGGGATCCCGATCCTGGGATTTCCGATTCCAGCCCCAGACTCGCGTATATACTCAACCACTTCCGATAGAGCATAGAGAAACAAATTTCCGGTGCTTTGTCAGTGGCTGGTAGGAGGTGGTATAATCGAGTCGAGCTCGAAAGAGCGAGTTCGCCGACTTGCGCGAGCGCGTCGCTGCAAACGTCGTTCAATTAGCCATAAGCAATCTTGGACGTGGCAGATTGCCCACCGATCGTCCCCGGGTCCGTACAAACCACCTTCCCCTCGAGTTCGCTTCGCTTCGCTTTCCTTTAAATTCGAGTCCACCACTTACTTCCCCTTCGCTTTGCACCCAAACCACCCGCGAACTCAAAGCAGGATGTCTGCCAAATCATACCGCGAGCTCTGGGGTATCCCGCCGTCCACAGCCTCCACCGAGGACTCCATCCTACTCATCATCGACGGACAGAACGAGTTAGAGCGCGGTTTGCTCGCTATCTCCGACCTACAGTCCACGCGGCCCGTAATCAAGCAGCTGCTGGAGCGCTACCGCGCCTCCCAAGGCCACATCGTGCACGCCTGGCACACCACCCCCGCCGGTGCCCCGGTCTTCACACCCGGTACCCCGCTCGAGGAGGTGTTCCCCGAGCTCACACCCAAGGACGGAGAAGTTATCCTGAAGAAGAAGTTCCCGAACGCATTCGCCGAGACGAACCTTCAGCAGATAATTACGGAGACTGGGCTCAACAAGATTGTGGTTGTTGGATACATGGCGCACCTGTGCGTGAGCACGACGGCGCGGGCGGCGCACCAGCGGGGATACGAGGTGTTGTTGGTTGAGGATGCGATCGGCGACCGAGATATTCCCGGGGTAAGCGCGGAAGAATTGACCAAAGTACGTTTTTCGTCCCACTTGAGATGACTTGCGTTTATCAAAAGCTAGGTGGTACTGGCGGAGCTTGGCGATGCATTTGCGACAGTGATAAAGAGCGGCGAAGTCCATTAGACAGTGATAAAGAGCGGCGAAAACCATTAGATCCGTGGCGACGCAAAAGGCCTGGACTCTGGAGGCTGGAATTGCCAGCCAGGAATTAACTGTGGTTCAATTGCCTCGATTAAATTGCCTGCGAGACCGAAGTTAAGAGATTATGAACGACGTTCAAAGGCCAAACGGACAGATCTACAGCCGGGAGAATTGGCAGCAAGAAGAGGCAAGAAAGCTGTGCAAAAGTTATGTGTACTCTGATTTGCACCCTGTTGGCTCTATTTACCGAAAACTTCCTCCTGCCTCCTCTCAACGCAATCTCAACACGTCCTGGATTAGCCTCAAATCCAAGCAATCTAGAAGACCAATGGCTCTACAACAAATCCAAATTCGACACCAACCCAAGGCCAGCTGCCACCTCGCAAGCGGCATCCTTACAACTGCGGTCAGCTCTGGTCCTTGCAAGTTGCAGCTGGCGGCCTCCTCGAATCGACAGTGATGCGCGTAGTGCCTGCAAATGAACAAGATCAATTTAAAAGGATTACATGCCAAGTGGAAACCGATTTTAGACATGTTCCGCGTCCCCTGTGATCGATCGCCTGTGGCCAGTCCCCCATGTCTCTCTTAATGAAAGCGTTCAGGAGAAGAGCAAGGCACGCCTCCCCACGTCAACCACCCACTACCAAATGCCTTCCCTCGCCTCTCTACTGCAATCGAATCCAGAGGCGGAGGCCGACATTCTCGGCGGATCGGTGCGTCTTCACAAATCTTTTACGCTTGTGGTTTGCTCAAAATCCACTCCAAGAACCTCGCAGCATTTGCGGATGTATTCTTCCAGGGTATCCTGATAGCGCAGTTCGCCCGATACACGAATATAAACACGCGCGACTCGAGGCTGATGAAGTTTTATGTGGCGGGCCTTGCGCTATTGACAACAGCCAAAACCACGCAATACATGTGCGCTTCTCCAATCCCCCTCTTCTTCTTTCCCTCTCAATCCCCTTTCAGAGCGGTAGTTTGGTTGCTAAATGTCAAACACATTGGCATCGCTCTGTGGTATAGCTCTTGGGCCTCCCACGCGTCCTTGATAACGGAAGCTGCCATTGCAATCTATGTCCAGATCTTTCTATGTCACCGGCTTTGGGTGCGCATTTTCCTCCGCCTTGGTGTACGATTTGTCTGATGCCGCTCCCAGATATTGTCGCATAACAGATATGTAGTGGTGCTTACCATGGCTCTGTTACTCGTTGCGGCGGCTGCAGCGTGTGTTGCGGTACGTTCTATGCCCGCCCTTGCATTTTTCAAGACTGAATACGCTGCCAGACCGCCTTATTCCAAACGACATTCTCGACCATCTGGAGTGCGTCTTTTTACGTTCCGCCCTTGAGCGACTTCTCAACTCGTTTGCGTTACAGCCGCGATACATCTGGGGTTCGCGATGTCTGGAGATTTCTTTCTCGCAGGAAACACCGTATTTTACCTGCTCGTACGCGCTCCATCCATTCCGCACCCTACTCTACTCTGCTCACCCTCATTCCAGCGACACTCCAGAACCGTTCTACCCCGCGGCCCGACGGCAGGCATACTCAATTCCCTCGTCAGAGTGACACTGCAGGCAAGCAGACTTCTCTTTCCAAGCGGCCACTCACTTACCAAAAGCAATACAGTCCGCGATACCAGCCTCGCTCTGCGCGTTGACCGACTTCGTCTTCACCATGCTCCTCTTCAAAGGGATCGGTATGCCGGGCTCTTTGATCATGAGCAGCATCGTGAACACCATCCTCCCGAAGCTGTGGGCTTGGTCCGCGATGTGGACGCTCAACTCGCGCGAAGACATATACCAGGACGCTCAAAACGCGCCATACACGCTTGATCTCGGAGTGCGGAGCGTGGTCTCGGACCCTGAGACGGCGGAGAGTGCCCGCATAGATAGAATTTGTACAGACGAGCCGCGGGGGCATGAGCCAGGACCGCGTGCAGAGGCAGAGAAAGTGTAGGCGTCGTAGCGCCAGTTTTATGTACGACGCTAATATGTACAGTACCTAGTACATCCAATGTACTTATAGAATGAAACAAGAGAATTCGAAAAGACAGTACAACAGCTTCAGTCCTGCTAACAATATATATGGATAAGAGAAATTTCTGTTCGTCCATTACTTGACTGACGCCCGGTCAACCGTCGTAGCTTGGCGGCGGAGGCAGAACCTGCCCGGCGCCGCTGCGGCCCCCCACAGCCAGATCCGCCTCCAGCACCCGGATGTACTCGCGCAGGTCGCGCAGCTCGGACGCGACCGCCCGCGATTCGTCCGTCGAGACGACGCGGCTCTGCCCCGGCAGGAGCTGCAAGCCACCGGGCGTCTGCACCAGGACGTCTGTTGCGATGTGCTCCGGGTCGCGCGTAACCTGGGTCTGATCGCGCTTCATCGTGGACAGCGAGCGCGTAACGCTCGGTGGTGCTGCGAGGGTGGGGATGGGGGCCGAAGAGGAAGAGGCGGGGGTGGGAGACGTGGTGGAGGCGGAGGTGGAGGCGGAGGTGGAGGTGGGTGCGGGTGCGACAGAAGCAGAGGCGGCGGTGGAGGCAGAAACATCGTATTCAGGAGCAGAGGTGGCGGAGGTGGCAGAGGCAGAAGCATCATGGTATGCGGGAGCAGAGGTGGCGGAGGCAGATGCGTCGTATGCGGGGGCAGAAGCAGAGGGGGCGTATGCGGGAGCAGCAGGGGGTGCCTCAACGGGAGGCACAGCATCCACGCCCGAGCCTTCGTCGTCGTGGCCTACGTTGATCATGCGCAGCTGGTTTGGCTTCATCGTCGATA